CAAGGGGTCGTAATTGTGTTGTTGTTTGGATAGTTTCATGGACGTTACAGAGAATGTGATTGATTGGCTCAAAAAACGGTCACAAAACTGGCCGTTGCTATATATCTGTTGGGGTATTTTTAAAAGTTATTTATTTTTTATACTTTAACCATATCACCTTACCTATAGATATCAACCATGTTATACACATTTCACATTGCAAACACATCAATTTCTTTCTATATCCTCAAATTTTCTTCATATTATGGATTCAAATCAAAATACCCCAACTACTCCAAACACCCCAAACAATCCCAATGATCTATACTCACATGTTGGTACTTATATGCAAATGTTAACATCTTCAATTCAATAATAACATTTATTCACCAACCATCCATACCCCCAAACTACTTCTAACAACCTATACCACAACAATTCAATCATTCTCAATTTCAAGTTTTTCAGCAACCTTCTCAACCTCAACAATTTTAAACACAACGATCTCAACCTCAACAATTTCAAGCACAACCATCTCAACCACAAACTCACGTCCCATTTTTCTCCATCCCAACCTACAAACCTCGACGACGACGTCGATGAAAGGGTCCAAAAAACTCAACCACCACCTTGAAGAAGACAAAATAGAGGAAGTGGTAAAAAAATACTCAGGGTTGGACCGAAGAAAATGAGGCAACGTTAGCGAAAGCTTGGATTTTCATATCGGAAGACAACCAAACTGGCAACGTGCATTCGGACAAAGTTTTTGGAATCGTGTTTTAGACAACTTTCATGCGGATTTAGGAAAGCGCCCATATTAGATGTAAGACATGGTCAACAGAAAATGGCGTGAACTACGAGCGGCTTACACCAAATCTAATGGCATATTTGAAAATCTTAAAATATACACAAAAGTGGGAGCAACGATTTCAATATTTTATGAACGACGTGCTACCAATACAAGCTTGACAACAACCGTAAACCACTCAGCCACCAAAAAGAGTGACAATTTTTCGTGAGGGTCCAAAATGAGTCCTTAATCCGGACGCGCATTCGGAATCGATTACCGACTCCAACAAAAGTCTGAGAACATCCGAGTCGGATTTAGGTTTTATCCTCGAGCTCAATGATGACTTCGACGACAGCGTCGGGGGGGGGGGGGGGGGTCCACCGGAAGTCCTCCTTCACCGACGACCCAAGAAGGGACAAAGGGAAACGAGCGTCAACTTCATACGGAAAAACGAGTACTGAATAAGTACTTTCAGAAAAAATAGACAAACATCTATTTTTTTTCAAAAAAAAATATGAACAAACGGAGGAAGATCTTAACCAAAAAAAATAACACGTAATGATCTAAAATTTTTGAACACACAACCCAACCAGGTATCACACTAAAAAATATAACAATATTTTTAAAAATTCAACGCAAGGTCATCAAAAAAATATGGCGATTAATTTTTATATTTTGATTTCTATGTGTTTTTTTATTAGTAATGTAGGTTTAAATTTGTAAGTTTTAATTTTAATGTTTTTTCAGTTTGTAATGTAGGTTTAAATTTCTAAGTTTTATTGTTTAATGTAACTTTTTTATTAGTAAAATATTTATTTATGTTTAATAATCATGTTGTTTATTTAATTTAATATCAAAAAAATATAAATTATGTGGAGTAGTAACTATATTCAAAAGCAAATGGTGTGGTGATAAGGATGTAATAAGAGCATCTCGATTCATTCCCATTTTACATTATTTTTCCCTCATTCTTCTCAAACCATATCCCATTTATTCCCTATTTTAAGATAAATGAATAGTATAACAACAAATATGGTGTGATACTATTCATTTCTTCCAAAATGGGGATGAACTTTGAGTTGTCGGTTTTAATCATTTTTTTATATATCTATATATTTTCTAGTTTATTTTTATCTGCTAATTATAATTTAAATGTAATATCTAACACTTATAATACTTTGTTATATATTAAATTATATTAATTAATTATAAATATAAAGTTTGTTTTTTGTTTATCAAATTCATATAAAAATTTAAATACATATTGAAATTTTAAAACACGATAACATATTTTACAAAAGCTTATAATTTAAGTGTTATAAATATAATCTTATTTATTTAATATATTGTAATGAAAAAAATATAGATTATATATTTGTTAAAACCAAGTTAATAGAAGGGTTATGTTTGATAATCTATGTAAGTTGGAAGAATGAAAGATTATAATAATATATTTTTTGGGTAAAAAATGAAGTAAAAAATAAAATAGTGATGAATCACTATTTACCTCATTTTTTACTTTATTTTTGGGTTAATGTCATAAAAACCCTTACGTTTTCCGGATTTTGTCGGTTTTACCCAAAGTTGGATTTTATGTTCGTTTATGCCTCAAACTTGCATTAATTTGTTCATTTTTACCCCTAACCAGTTTTTACCTTCAAAAGCCGGTCATCCCTTATCTAACTGGACACAATTGCTGACTAAAATGACAAGTCAACACATTGACATGTGCCTTCAAAGAAAAAAGAAACGAGAAGTAGGGGCTTGGGGGAATCTAACCCGAGTCTCCCACTTCAAAAGGAGGAGCTTTAACCACTAAGTTGGAAGAAGTTTTGTATTTTATCTTCTAACTTAATATATTTAATGTGTATTTTGCTAGAACTTTTAAATAATAAGTATTATTATTATTATTATTATTATTATTATTATTATTATTATTAAATTTTTTTTATTTTTTTTATGAACTTATACATATAGTTTTAAATACATTCTGAAACGTGTAAATATATTTTTAAAGGTAAAAATATTTTTTAAGGTGTAAATATACTTTTAAAATTATATATATATATATATATATATATATATATATATATATATATATATATATATATATATAGTACATTACTGAAATCGTCCCTATGGTTTGGTCAAAATTACACGTTTGGTCCCTAACTTTTCTTTTGCACTCGGATCGTCCCTATGGTTTGATTTTGTTGCGTTTTTCGTCCCTTATATACATAAAGTCAGGGACCAAACGTGCAATTTTTACAAAACCATAAGGACGAAAAACGTAACAAAATCAAACCACAGGGACAATCCGAGTGCAAAATAAAAGTTAGAGATCAAACGTGTAATTTTTGCCAAACCATAGGGACGATTTCAGTAATTTACTCATATATATATATATATATATATATATATATATATATATATATATATATATAAAGTGTGTAAACATTTAACAACGTATGTATACATTTTTATACGTATTTAAACATATAAAAACGTTTTTATACATATAAAAATATATCAAGACGTTTTATACATATTCATATGTATACATTATGTATAAAGACATTTTTAGCAAATTCATATGTATATATTATGTATAAAGAGGTTTTTAGCAAATTCATATGTATAAAACGTACAAAAAACAAATATTTATACATAATGTATACATATGAATACTTATAAAACGTCTTTATATATTTTTATATGTATAAAAGCATTTTTATACCCGTTAAAAAACATTTTTATATGTTTAAATATATATATAAATACGTTTTGATGCATGTTTATATGTATAAAAAAAGTTTTTAAATATGTATTTGAGGGTATACATACACTTTCAAATGTATAAATATGTTGTTAAATGTTTACATACTTTTTAAATATATAAATATTAGTTGTATATATATAAATACCTTTAAAAATATATTTACACCATTAAAAAGTACTTTTTACATTTAAAAGTATATTTACACATTTAAAAATGTATGTATAAGTTCAAAAAAAAAAGATGATAATAATAATAATAATAATAATAATACTTATTATTTAAAAGTTCCAGAAAAATACACATTAAATATATTAAGTTAGAAGATAAAACACAAAACTTCTTCCAGCTTAGTGGTTAAAGCTCTTCCCGTTCAAGCGGGAGACTCGGTTTGATTCCCCCAAGCCCGTAATTCCCGTTTTTTTTTTCCTTGAAGGCACATGTCAGCATGCTCACTTGTCATTCCAGTCAGCAATTGCGTCCAATTAGATAAGGGATGACCGACTTTTGAAGGTAAAAACCGGTCAGGGGTAAAAATGAAAAAATTAATGCAAGTTTGAGGCATAAACGAACATAAAATCCAATTTTAAGCAAAACCGATAAAATCCTGAAAACTTATGAGTTTTTATGACATTAACCCTTTATTTTTAAGAGATAAATGAAAATGAGTTAAAGACGGACTAAAGATAAAGGATATAATGAAAATAATGTTATACGACCCCTTAATTTAAAAATGGGAAAAAAGAAAATAGGTAACTTTGATGGGACTACTCTTGAGCGTCATAAATGAAATCTAAAATTTTATAATATTATTTTACTGATTTGAGTCTATTCTCAAAATTCAAAAACGATCATATGAAAAGATATCTAAGTTTCTTATAATATTATTTTACTGATTTGAATGTAATACAAGAAATTTTGTGTATATAGGAGTACTCTTTAATACTGATTATTTGAAAATGTCTAATTATTTTGATTATTGTGATTAAGACGTGACATGGTCAACTTTTAATAGTTTAATTATAAAAAGGTTGAAAACTTGAAAAACCAGTTTCATACTATCAAGTATCAACAATAAAATAGATTATTTATCTTTTTTTATTAACCTAGTTTGAGATGCTACTATTTTCGTTTCATAAGGAAAATCTATCAGTTTATTAAATAATTAAAATTTGTCAAATACGTAAAAGGAATAACAAAGCATCCTCTGAAAACGGTAAGGGAAATCTAAACACCTTCTGGAGAACGATTCTAGGAAGATGAAAACACAAAAAATACCATGAAAAGAAACATGATCATCAAGAATCAAGAATAAAAAAAGATGAAATGTTTTCTCATTATTTAACAACTCCATCCTCAAAAACACCATAAAAACACAAAATCATACATAAAGATGATCAAAAACCAAAGATCCAACATGGGTTTTCCACGTATCAGAAGAGAAACTTGATTGTGTCATGATCTGAAACCATAAACCATCTGTGAATACTTATCTTTAATCCACCTAAAGCTTTTTTTAATTGACCCTTTGACTTTTCCTTCCACTGTATAAGCCTTGTAGGTAGCAACCCTTCTCTTCCTCTGCAATTCAGGGTCAGTAAAGCTCCAACTTTTGGACATTGACCCATTCGTTGACTTGCTGGCATGTTTCTTGAACTTGTCAGCAGTTGGATTGGTGTTGTTGTCCATCTGGGTGTGAGAAGATGATGATGCATAAGAAGTACTGTAACATCTGAAATCTCGGAGATTCCTGTTGTAAGGCTGAATTTGCATACCATTTGCATTGTAGGATTTGGATCTGAAATCTTCCATCTGGGTATGAAAGATTCTTGATCTTTTGTTTCCCCTTTCTCTCTCCAAAAGTTGTCTTCTTCCTATCTCTCTCTCTATCTCTAGTGGTATAGGTACAGAATGGGGTATGCAGAGGAGATGTGGGGTTTATGGGTTGTATCCAACTGTGTGTGCATAGCAAATTGGGGAGATTCTGTGTGAATTTAAAGTCGCTGTTTTGTTTGCGTCGGTGGAGATGAGAATTTGTTCATGAGATGATTTATTTAGTATTTTAAATTCTACATATTTTTTTTCGAAACCGCAAACGATTAAGCAGAAGCCTCGCCACAATATTTCAATGGTGACCTGAGTTCGAGCTTTTCTACAGGGCAAACACAGCCTCCAAGAGGATTTCCAGACAAAACTTTTCACACATGGGGCATAATTAACAGGTTTAAAGATTTGAACTCAGCCTCCAAGGGGATTTCCACACAAAACTTTACAAGAGGCAAATTTAACAGATTCAAAGATTTGAACTCCTGACATCGAACTCACGTTAGTATAAAATCTGATGCATCAGCTGGACATCACTTGCAAATTCTACATATTTGGTATGATATATTTTGGGGTCCTTGTGGGAAAGTAACATGTGGCTTAGTTGTTAACTAGTAGTTTGTAGTTGATTGCGATTAATCGTTAGTTGGTTAATAGGTAGTCGGTATATATATATATATATTATATATATATATATATATATATATATATATATATATATATGTTAAAAGTGTTTAAGAAAATTGGTTTTAAGTATTTAAAATTTATAAAATGACTTCAAACATAGAGTATATTATAAAAACAAAAAGCTCTTAAAAAAATTATTTTAAATAAAAGTTTTAAGTTTATACTTGTGAACAAAGTTTTACTTTAATTCCATTTCATTCCTAACAGCTTTCAAAAAGTACGTTGTCAAACATACCTTACATATAAAAAAAACTCTAAAAAAAAACTTATTTCAATAAGTTCTTTAATGACATTAAAAGATTCAATTAAAAAATGACCGGTAAGAAACTAATCTAAGAAAAAACATTATATCATAAGAGCAAATACCAAAAAAGTCTCAAGTTTTATATGCATAGTTGGAAAAAGTTCTAAATTTTTATTTTAGTTGGTAAAAATCACAACTTTTCAGATAACCTTCAACTTTTCAGATAACCTTCAATTTTTAACCTATTATCCACATATCAACTGGCATCAACATTTTTATAAAAATAGAAGGTTTCTGAAAACTTATGGTTTATATCTACAAAAAAAAGTTAGGGCTTTTTCAATCAAGTGTGTAAAACTTTTGATTTTTTTGGTATTTGTCATTTCTTTCATCAAACAGATTTATATACACAAATGGTATTCGTATATCTATAAAAAAACTTACTTAATGCGTAAACATAAATAACATAAATAACGTAATATAAGTAAAATATGTTTTATATAAATATCGAAATATAAGTATAAAAGACATTGTATGTACTTTATATGTATAAAATATGTTTTTTACTTATTTTTATATGTAAAAAACATTTTTATGTATAAAAAATGTACTTTTATGTATTTGTCTATGTATAAAACCGTATTATAAATAAAAATCTTATTTGTATACCTATATTTTAGAAAACATAAAATACATAGAAAAGACGATATATATATATATATATATATATATATATATATATATAATATATATATATATATATATATATATATATATATATATATATATATATATGATTTTTACAAATCCACAAATACATAAAGCTACAAGTTTTATACATAAAATACATTTTTTACATATAAAAATAAGTAAAAAACTTATTTTATACATATAAAGTATATAAAATACATATTTTATACTTATATTACGATATGTATATGTTTAAACATTAAATAAGTGTTTTTTAAAGATATACGAAGACCATTTGTGTATATAAATCCGTTTGACGAAAGTAATTGAAAATACCAAAAAAGTTTCAAGTTTTACACAAGTGGTTGGAAAAAACCCTAAGCTTTTTTAGGTAAAAACCATAAGTTTTCATAATACCTTTCATTTAAAAAAAAATAGGGATGATCGGATAACAAGTTAAAAATAGAAAGTAATCCGAAATGTTATGTTTTTTATCAACCAGAAAAAAAGTTAGGACTTTTCCCAACTATACGTGTAAAACTTGAGACTTTTATGGTATTTTCCCTACGCCATAACTAAGGCAAAGATTTGTAATCAAAACCAATCCAATTTAATTTATCTTGTTTAAACCTTCTCGAATGTCATAAAATGTAATCGAAAGTAATGTTATGAAAAAAACTCGTTCTTTATCAGTTTTAAAGATCAAATGATGGTTCAGAAAGCGCTAAATACACCAAAAAAAATGCAAAAATAACCACATTAAAGCATTTCTTGATCCTCTTTGTACCTGTCAATCAACCTATCATCTTCAGTCATCTTCAGTCGGTCGCTAATAGTAAGAGATTTCAACATTGTAATATATCACCATATTAGAGTTTTCTCCCATATCTGCTGGGAAGACTACAGTTGATAGTTGATGAAAAGGTGATCAGATGTCTAGATATCTACATCATAAACAGAACAAGCTATTAATGCTTATAAGGTAGCTCAAATCAACACTTATCCAAAATATTTTCGATAAGGTAAACGATCCAACTAAATATGTCATGTGAGAATATTAACCTTAATCAAGGTTAATTTATTCAAATGAGTAACAACTCCATTAGAACCCATATCGTATCATTCACCAATTGACGCAAATTTGCAACGTAAAAATCATAGAAGTATAAAGATCTCAATTCCTTTTATCATTTGAATCCAAAAATTAAAACCATCCAAATAATGAAGTGGGTTTATAAGATTCATTTGGCTCTCCCATGTTACATATTTGTTTTCCACTCCCACAATGTTACATATATGTCTGAAATAAAACAATACTTCACATATCCAATGACATAAAGTCTTGGTAAATAAAAAAGAGTAGATCATTTACCTACCTACCAGGCCACCAATATGCCCAAAACCGTGTATTAGAACCATTACCAACGACTATATGCATGAAAGAAGAAATATTTACTTCTTAACAAGGGAAACCTTTGGAGAAACTAATGGGGATTGAGGTTTAAGTATCTCATCACCATATAGTATGTCCTTAATGATTGCGTAGGTGCAGCTTTTAGAGACATGAAATAAGTCAGTAAATTGTTGATGTCATGTTCAGTATAAACCTTAATTATTTTATCGTCCTTAACATATTTAGCAAGATTGACCATATCAACATCGTTTCCTAATTCTCTTAATCCAAAATACAAGTCATATTTAGGCAAACGAAAATGGTAGTATATGACATGAGGTACACATAACCTAGTTCTATCATTATTGTATCTAATTCGTGAACAAATTCATCAATATCTAGCAAATCCAAATATCCTACTTCACTAATAGAGTGAATCCTTGGAAAGTTTGTGAACTTCCCATTGTGGAGTTCAATGATGAACATGTCTGGATGACTCTCTATAAAGAAAAAAAAACACGTAAAATTAACATTTTGTTATAATTTTACAGGAGTTGTAGATTTTAAATTAAAGGAAGTGTAATGGAAGCAGATCACATTACCATAGATAATCCTTGCATCAAATGTTTGATTCCTTAGCCAAACTGACCACATTGTAAGTACTATGTATCTCCAAAATTCATAAATTATAAATATCATATGAAGGTTTTTTTTTATTTCATTTATGGCTTTCTAAGTAATGGAGTGTTTAGGGAGAAGAAGATGAAAATCCAACGAAGAAGTAATGTAATGTGGTGTTAGTGGTAATCCTTGAAATATGTGTGTAACACCCGAATTTCAGCACAAGGTACATACAAAAATTTCCACTTATAATTTATAAAAACATATTGGTATACAGTTACATTAACAATCCAGTACATGTAGTCATCATCAGGATCGGTTCAAAGAAATTACTATACAATGATCCGAGTCGGGTATCGCTAACTCTCTTCTTTCATCCTTACTGCTAAATAAATTTTACCTACAAAACACACATCACAAAAGGATAAGCTACAAAGAGCTTAAGAGTAATCCTTATGTAACGCCCGTTTTTCGAAGCTAAGCATTGATGCGACGACGTAATTGTTAGGTTCAACAAATGTCACTCAATTTGAAGTGATAAAAAGAAATTACTTGAATATTATGTGATTTTATGTAATTATATACTTGTTTGTAAAGATATAATAAAAATAATCGTCAAAAATAAAACATTAGATAAACCTGATATCTATGAAGAAAGTTGTAGTGGTCGTGACAATGATTCTGAACATATAAAGAACGCCGAAATCCGAGTTATAACGAAGAAGTTATGGTCTGTCGAAGTTTCGCGACAAAACCGGCACGACACTACGTGACGTAAAAAGTGAGTTTACGATAAAGCGCTTTTTAGCCTTAGTGATCTAAACGAAAGTCGTATCATACGTTAAACCGAGAGCATGCATAAAAAGAACGCCCAAATCTGACTTCGTATGAGGAAGTTATGATTTTTCTAAGTTTCGTCATAGCAGTATGCAACCCGGAGTTCGAATATTAGATCGACCGATTTTTAGCCAACACAGCCTAAACGATAACCGAAGATCTCGTTAATAGTAGCTCAACGATAAAAAGACAGACAAAAACGGACGTCAGATGAAGAAGTTATGAATTTTTAACGGACTTTTCCTGTCCCGGCCTGTTAAAAATATAAATTTAAAAATAAAATCAAAATTAGCCGACGGAATCTAAACGAAAGTTGTAGAGTATGGTCCCGTCTACGCGTGGATATAAAGAATGTCAAAAACGGAGCTCGTAAGAGAAAATTACGTATTTTAGAAGTTGAAGGTGTAAAATGCGAAGCTCGTGCGAGGACTACGCCCAGTGTACCTTCGGACGCCTCGCGTACCGAAGTACGCCCTGCGTACACCAAT